GTACTGTTACACTGTATATTAGTGTATATCCAGCAGGGGTTAGCTGGTACTGGTCCTATTACAATATCCCCCAGCAGGAGGGAATAGCGTGGTGCTTGTATACACGGTCGTGTGAACGTGGGGGGGGGGGCAAGGTGGGCACTCACCCCCGGGGTGACTGCACCAGAGGGTGTAAAAATCGTCTTTACTACGACCGTTAAAGTGAACGAAAGGATAAAATCCCATGTATTTTACTGAGAAAAGAGGCGCAAAAAACATATCGTATTTGTCCGCATTTCTCCCTCGTCCTTGCCTATTTGATCCAATGGCAAGACGTAGTCGAGACGACTGGAAATTGAGCAGGATGCAATAGACGACCAGCAGTGTGTCTTGTGTGTTTCATTTGCTCTTTGTGCGTTCTACGTCCCAGGAGCTTTGTAGCAATTTTAATTCGTTTTAATGCCATAACGCCTGCGGGACTCCACCTCCTGGTTTGAATTCAGAGTTGAATCTATACTTGAATGCAGTGTTTCTTTCAGAATTTTTTTTCCCCGGGGGGCACTTCAAATTTTCTGGAGGGGGGGGGGGAAACCACAGTTTTTTTTTTTTNTGTTGGACATATTTTTGCTCCGCGGGGAGGGATTGGCTTTCCCCGGATGGGTACTTCCCCCCCCCACCCTTCCGGAGATCTAGCTGAAAGAAACCCTGCTTGAATGACAGTCACGTGATCCCGCTGGCAAGTTGATCAACGTAATACAGTTAGTTAATAATGCAATCGTGTCACATGACAAACATTATCTTGGGGGGGCCCGCGGACGGTGGTTGTAAAAAACATTTTAAAAGCATTCCTCCGATGGAAGAAAGCATTTGTATTGTAATGGGTGGATGTTCGTGCTCCATATCTTCTCTCATGTCATTGGATGGGGGAGTACAACTTCATCAATATCAAATTATGGTTTTTATGATCTTGTTTTGTAAAACGAACTTTCAAGGACAGTGGTCGCCTTTTTCTTTTCTCTCTGTCGTTGAAACGTTTAAAAAAAAGAAAAGAAAAGAAGGACATGAATGAAGGACTGAGTTCAAGCTGTGTTAAGGATATGTTAGAACAAGGTATTTGGAAGCTTGAATTAAGAAACAGGACAATGAGACAAAAACGTTTCGGCTAAGAGCCTTCGTCAGCAGACAGGGCGGATAAAAAAAAATATAGGACAAGAAATAGAAACAAGTTTTAAAAAAAAACAACAAAAAAAAAAAACAAGAAACATAAAAAAAAATCATAAACATATCTAGTATTTCATCAATTATTCATCGTTTCGGCTAAGAGCCTTCGTCAGCAGACAGGGCGGATAAAAAAAAATATAGGACAAGAAATAGAAACAAGTTTTAAAAAAAAACAACAAAAAAAAAAAAACAAGAAACATAAAAAAAAATCATAAACTTATCTTGTATTTCATCAATTATTCAATCATAAAAACTATTTCTATATCCATTCAGAATACAAGTCAAAAAAGTTATAGCAAATACCCCCATATATAAAATACTACAAATTAAGATGTAGTCTGTAATTTCGCTGCTACACTTGAAATGAAAGACTGCTGCACTTTATTACAAAGGACAGTACTTGTATTGACAGTAAAAATTAGTTTACAAGGTTTATGGAGGTTGTGCTAAATGGATGGGCTGCGACTATTCGGACCCGGGTACCAGAAGTGAGAGTTTGGGCTTATTAAAAAAAATATTTAAAATATTATAGTAAGACAAAATTAGGTATCAAAATGAAGGATAATTGAATGGATCCTATTTTTTTGTAAACTTTAGTCTTCAATTTAAATTAAAAATTAACTATCACAAATGACATCCGAATAGCATTTGGTCTAAAGGGACCCGGACACGCAGCAATAGTCCTTATTCGGACCCGCTATAATGTAAATTGCACTTAAACATAATTAAAAAATCTATTAAATTATTACGCTTTACAAAGACATCGTTTCTTTCTTAATGTAATAACCGTTAGAAGTGGAAACAGTGAACCTTCTTTTTTTTTGTGAATGACGCTACACATAATCAGACGTTGGTGGTCTACAGATCCGACCTTCACCAACTGTGGGTTACGTCACGACGAATCTGAAAAACGTTACTGTAACGTTATCCGTGTAGGAGTCGGGTGGCGGGGGGGGGCGTGAGAGGGGGGATGTATTCTGTCATAGGAAATAAGCTTACCCCACTACAATGGTATTTTGAACCTTAATAAAATGATCACTTGATAGTGTTACATTTATAGGACCTATGTCCGTTTAGCGCCTGGGATTAAAATTTTAATCTTGAATCGTTTTGTTGTCATATTAAAAGGAAGCTGATATGTGTATGTACTTGCTTCCCGTTAAAGAACAGGATAGTTATGTCCGCAGTAAATTAAAATCAGTTTTTTGATGCCATTAGTCAGGAGTCGGAAGAATGATTGTGCCAAAAGAAGGATTTGTTTACATCATTCAGCACACCAAGAAAATACAGTGTAACTTACAGGAAGGATTTCTTTACATAATTCAGCACACCAAGAACCTACAATCTAGCTTACAGGAAGGATCTCTTTACATCATACAGCACACCAAGAACCTACATTCTATTAACAGGAATGATTACATCATTCAGCGCACCAAGAACCTACATTCTATTTAACGGGAATGATTACATCATTCAGCACACCAAGAACCTACATTCTATTTAACAGGAATGATTACATCATTCAGCGCACCAAGAACCTACATTCTATTTAACAGGAATGATTACATCATTCAGCGCACCAATAACCTAAATTCTATCTAACAGGAATGATTACATCATTCAGTGCACCAAGAACCTACATTCTATTTAACAGGAATGATTACATCATTCAGCGCACCAAGAACCTACATTCTATTTAACAGGAATGATTACATCATTCAGCACAGCAAGAACCTACATTCTTTTTTAACAGGACTGATTACATCATTCAGCGCACCAAGAACCTACATTCTATTTAACAGGAATGATTACATCATTCAGCGCACCAAGAACCTACATTCTATTTAACAGGAATGATTACATCATTCAGCACAGCAAGAACCTACATTCTTTTTTAACAGGACTGATTACATCATTCAGCGCACCAAGAACCTACATTCTATTTAACAGGAATGATTACATCATTCAGCGCACCAAGAACCTACATTCTATTTAACAGGAATGATTACATCATTCAGCACAGCAAGAACCTACATTCTATTTAACAGGACTGATTACATCATTCAGCGCACCAAGAACCTACATTCTATTTAACAGGAATGATTACATCATTCAGCGCACCAAGAACCTACAGTCTATCTTACATGACGTATATTTAAAAAAAAATACTCATTTACACGAATTATTTTGTGGGTCTTCCGCTTGAAACTGACAATTGCTCTGCGTGTTACGTCTGGCACGCGTGCCATAGGTTTTCAACCCTCGTCTTAAGAAGTACGTATAAGTATTTATGTTTTCTGACCAGTTCATGTGCCGGGCAATGAGTTCGAGAGGATGTACAATAACTGGCAACAGCCAGACACAGCGTGGTGACAGAATCCTGCACAATATTGATGATACTCCATAGCTCGCGTGTATTTCAAAGATGAATCATCCGTTAAAATCACAAGTACAAATAGAGCAACTCGTCCCAAAATGGGCCGTTTAGGATATCGCTAGACCCTGTAACAACAGGTTTTCATGTGCCGAGAGAGGTTTGGGCTCAGGAAAATTCCATTTCAAACCTTAATTATAGCTTTTAAAAACTCCAATTAAGGCTTTTAAAAACTTAATTTTACAATATTCCCTTGGGGCCAGGGGCCCTAAATTCATTTTTGTTTCTAATATGAGCTGTGTAATTATAATTTCAAACAGAGCTATTGCATGGGTGGATGGAATTGAATCAAATACAAACTGCGACATTTCAGTTTGTTTGTGACATAATTATAGGTTTCTGAATTAGTATACCCATTTACAATACTCCGTTTGGGGCTATTGCATGGGTGGATCGAATCGCTACTACTCTGTGGACTACTTTTTGAACATCAATGCTTCTCACATGGAAAGCTGTGTGTGGCCAGCTCACATGGAAAGCTGTGTGTGGCCAGCTCACATGGAAAGCTGTGTGTGGCCTGCTCACATGGAAAGCTGTGTGTGGCCTGCTCACATGGAAAGCTGTGTGTGGTCTGCTCACGTTTCGAATAACCTTCTAATTTATTAGAGTACGCACCAGACGGTTAAAAAAAAATAGTGAGTAGATAAAACAAACACTTATTTATTTGAGTGGCATTGCAACGCATGCCGGGTACTCGCTAGTTTCCTATAAATTTGAGACCAGGTTCAAATGGCCACGTTGACTCAACGCCCCTCAGCCCCCCCCCCAACCCCCACATCACGTAACAACTCCTGCCTGAAACTTTGAAATGCAATAGAATCATTTAATACGAACTTTGTTAATTAACAGGAAGGGATTAATTGTAACTTCTAAACAAACACTTATTTATTTGAGTGGCATTGCAACGCATTCCGGGTACTCGCTAGTTTCCTATAAATTTGAGACCAGGTTCAAATGGCCACGTTGACTCAACGCCCCTCAGCCCCCCCCCCCAACCCCCACATCACGTAACAACTCCTGCCTGAAACTTTGAAATGCAATAGAATCATTTAATACGAACTTTGTTAATTAACAGGAAGGGATTAATTGTAACTTCCTTAAATCGATTCAACTTAATTAAAGCCTCAAACGAGACCCGGCTTCTCAAACGGAGTTCATTACAACCCATGCGGGTTATTGCACACCCGTTTTTCTCTCTCCATTTATTATTTCTGGATGTGTTTTATTAGGGCTGGGAGAGGGTGTACATTGGAGCGGGGAGTTTTAGCAAACATTATCTTCGGATTAAACGGCATGGTGACGTCAATGATATTAATGCTGCCGTGACATGAAAAGAGCGTGCCAAGGCTAGAGCAGATCCTCGGGAGACAATTCTGCTCACCCTGACTCTTAACTGAAACTCATTTATAGTATGCAAGCCGTTAAGCGTCTCTTGTAGTCGTGTCAATTAGATAGTGTCTTATATTATTACCAATGACAGTAAACCAGAAGAAATGCCCAGTCTTGACTATATTAACAATGACAGTAAACCAGAAATGCCCAGCCATGACTATATTAACAATGACAGTAAACCAGAAATGACCAGTCTTGACTATATTAACAATGACATTAAACAAGAAATACCCAGTCTTGACTATAATAACAATGACAGTAAACCAGAAATGACCAGTCTTGACTATATTAACAATAACAGTAAACCAGAATTGCCCAGTCTTGACTATATTAACAATGACAGTAAACCAGAAATGCCCAGTCTTGACTATAATACCAATGACAGTAAACAAGAAATACCAAGCCTTGACTATATATTAACAATGACAGTAAACCAGAAATGCTACGTTAGTTTAGTGCTAGCCTACCTGTGTTACGTTAGTTTAGTGCTAGTCTACTCAGTGTTACGTTAGTTTAGTGCTAGCTTACTTAGTGTTACGTTAGTTTAGTGCTAGTCTACTCAGTGTTACGTTAGTTTAGTGCTAGTCTACTCAGTGTTACGTTAGTTTAGTGCTAGCTTACTCAGTGTTACGTTAGTTTAGTGCTAGCCTACTCAGTGTTACGTTAGTTTAGTGCTAGTCTACTCAGTGTTACGTTAGTTTAGTGCTAGCTTACTTAGTGTTACGTTAGTTTAGTGCTAGTCTACTCAGTGTTACGTTAGTTTAGTGCTAGTCTACTCAGTGTTACGTTAGTTTAGTGCTAGCCTACTCAGTGTTACGTTAGTTTAGTGCTAGTCTACTCAGTGTTACGTTAGTTTAGTGCTAGTCTACTCAGTGTTACGTTAGTTTAGTGCTAGTCTACTCAGTGTTACGTTAGTTTAGTGCTAGTCTACTCAGTGTTACGTTAGTTTAGTGCTAGTCTACTCAGTGTTACGTTAGTTTAGTGCTAGCTTACTTAGTGTTACGTTAGTTTAGTGCTAGTCTACTCAGTGTTACGTTAGTTTAGTGCTAGTCTACTCAGTGTTACGTTAGTTTAGTGCTAGCCTACTCAGTGTTACGTTAGTTTAGTGCTAGTCTACTCAGTGTTACGTTGGTGAAGTGCTAATCTACCCAGTGTTACGTTGGTTTAGTGCTAGTCTACTCAGTGTTACGTTACTTTAGTGCTAGTCTACTCAGTGTTACGTTAGTTTAGTGCTAGCCTACTCAGTGTTACGTTAGTTTAGTGCTAGTCTACTCAGTGTTACGTTGGTGAAGTGCTAATCTACCCAGTGTTACGTTGGTTTAGTGCTAGTCTACCCAGTGTTGTTGAACATAAAGAGAGAACCTGTTCAAGGTGAGCAACAAAACATCACAGGCGGCGATTGTTGTCGTTACCTGCCGAGTACAGGTGGGAGGATGACAAGATCGGTGAGTGGGGAGGTCATGACCTTACTCTGTGAATAGGCGCACGTGAGATGTGTTTATTTATGGTAAACGGATTATTCTGATGTACTTGGCATGTGTTTACTTGTGTACATGAAATATGTTTATAGAATAACATGAGGTTTATTTATTGTGTTTTCATCAGATGGGTTCACTGATGTACATGAAATATTATTATGTTTTCTGGTTTACAGGAAATGTGCTTACTGTGTACATAAGATGGGTTAACTGATTGACACGAGGTTGTTTACTGGTGTACATGATAGGTGTTTATTGGTGTGCATTAGAGTAATTACTGATGTACATACAATTGTCTACTATGTACATGAGGTGTGTTTATTGCATATATCAGATGTTTAACTGGTGTACAAGACATGTCTTTTCTGAATTACATGAAATGTCTTTATTGCACATGAGATGTGTTTACTGTGTACATTATATCTCTTTACATGTGGACATGAATTGTTTACTTATGTACATGACATGTGTTTATAGCTTACCTCTGATGTTTTACTCTTGTACATGAAATATCTTTACTGTGTACCTGAGATGTGTTACTGTGTACATGAGATATCTTTATTGGGATAGGCCTACACGAGATTGTTTACTTATGTGTACATGATACGTGTTTGTTGGTGTACCTTATATGTGTTTACTGGTGTACATGGGATGTTTGCACAATTGCCCTTTCTTGCTCTTTTTTGATAATCTCTCTCTATTTATGTATCTATCCATCAATCCATCTGTCCATTTAGTAATAATATCCATGTATCAATGAGTATCATCTATAATCGATCAATAGATCGATCGATCAATCGATCAATCTATCGATCTTTCTATCTTTCTATCTATCTATCGATCGATCGATCCATCCATCCATCCATCCATCCATCCATCAGTCCATCCATCCATCCATCCATCCATCCGTATATCCGTCCGTCCGTCCGTCGATCCATCCATCCGTCTGTCTGTCCGTTTTCTATATGCCTGTCTGTCAATCTGTCCTTCCGCCCGACTGTCTATCCATTTCTTGTTATTCTTCAAAATTATATGATGAAATTGTTATTTTCGGAAGCCCTTTTTGCCACAATGATTTAGAGTTATATTTTTGTCTCTATCAAGAGCTATAAGTAGACTACAGTTGTCCAACAAATATATTATTTTTAACTATACTGTAGCCCGAGTCATAATGCAAAAGAGTCCACAGCATTTTTTTCATTTCAAAGATTATCTTTGCAAACTTAAAAAAAAAGATGTCTTGCTAGCGATGTTTGAAATTATTTGTAATTTCTTAAGATAGCTACTGATTACATTCACATTTGTATTTAGTTTTAACACAATGGTCGACAAACTCATTAGTCAAAAGAAACAAAAATCAGCAGAAGGACAATTTAAAAATTTGGGGGGCCAAATTTCTTTTCAAGAAACTGTCAAGAACAATGTTTTTCGAAGTCAAACCCGATTTGTGGCCAACTGAACGAGCCGCACTCAGGGTGCTAAAGAGCCGCATGCGGCTCGCGAGCCGCGATTTGACGACCACTGTTTTAACATATGTATATTATATTAATTTCAGTTATGTAAGTTCACATCGTTTTAATATACTTACATAACTTATATAAATGTTTTTTTCAATTAAAAAAAAAATATATGGGCGTGTTTTTAATCCCCATGTCTATAAATAAAACTTTTGGGTACCCACCTTATTGGCTGGTTCCAGCAACCTCTTTCTAGATCCCACAGTTCGCTTAAAGAAACTAAAACTCCTTCGAAGAATCTGCAACCTCCTCTTAGAACACACAACCTTCTATGAGAACACACAACCTTCTATCAGAACACAGAACCTTCTATCAGAACACACAACCTTCTATCAGAAAACACGACTCTCTGTACCTGCTATGATATCCACTTGTTAAGTCAAAGCTGCGGTGACTGACCAGATGCGGTCCCCTCCCCCCACGAGTTGGGAGATGGCAAGCGAATGTTGTTAAGGCCAGTAGGGCGAACGTGTGGGCTCGATATATGAGTCGCGTGCAGGCGCGTGTCTCTGGCGGAACGGTGTGGATGTGGATCAAACTGTCTTTTACGTGCTACCGGACCAGTTCTTCTCACAACATCCTAAAGGGCCAATTCATCTCAAACCATCCTAAAGGACCAGTTCTTCTCACACCCCCTAAAGGACTTGTTCTTCTAACACTTTCCTAAAGGACCAATTCTTCTCACAACATCCTAAAGGACCAATTCATCTCAAACCATCCTAAAGGACCAGTTCTTCTAACACCCCCGAAAGGATCAATTCTTCTCACACATTCCTAAGGGACCAATTCATCTCAAACTATCCTAAAGGACCAATTCATCTCACACTATCCTAAAGGACCAATTCATCTCAAACCAGCCTAAAGGACCAATTCATCTCACAAAATCCTAAAGGACAAATTCATCTCACACCATACTAAAGGTCCAATTCATTTCACACCACCCTAAAGGACCAATTCATTTCACACCACCCGAAAGGACCAATTCATTTCACACCATCCTAAAAGGCCAATTCATTTCATACCATCCTAATGGACCGATTCATTTCACACCATCCTAAAGGACCAATTCATTTCACACCACCCTAAAGGACCGATTTATTTCCCACCACCCTAAAGGACCAATTCATTTCACACCATCCTAAAGGACCAATTCATTTCGCACCATCCTAAAGGACCAATTCATTTCACACCACTCTAAAGGACCAACTCTTCTCATATGGTCCTACAAGGCTATTTCTTCTTACATCGTCTTGAAGGACCATATCTTCTCACACTAACCTATAGGACCCATTCTACCCACACCGTCCTACATAACCAATAGTCTCACAAAGGAGGTATTTCAGTTGTGGGCCCTAATGAATGCTGGGCCCATTCGACTCAAAGGAAGAACAAAAAGAGGGGGGGAAGGTGCTTCAGTGAACTTGATGGTCATAGACTAATGGAATGACCTTGACATTTATGATGGTCATAGACTAGAAGAATGCCCATGCCATTTATAATGTCATAGACTATCAGAATGACCTTGACATTTATGATGGTCATAGACTTACAGAATGACCTTGACATTCGTGATGGCCAGAGACTAGAAGAATGTGCTTGACATTTATGATGGTCATAGACTAGCAGAATGACCTTGAAATTTGTGATGGGAATAGACTAACAGAATGACCTTGAAATTTGTGATGGGAATAGACTAGACTAACAGAATGACCTTGACATTTACGATGAGCACTAGTGCGCGTGTTAAACCAGCCCGTAAAACTGATAATAAACTTTAGAGCTTGTCAGTTGTGAAAGATTTCACTTTTATCGTGTAAAAAAATATATATTAAGGTTAGTGCTGCAGGATATTTTGTATGAGATTAAATACAACTTAACGCGAGGGTTGTTTTAATTAAGATGTTTGTTGACTTGTCGTTTTCCGAGTTGTCTTTTTAATTTATAATATCTTTTTTTTTTTTTTTTTTTTTTTTTTTAGCTTTTAAAATTTTTTTTTTTTTTTTTTTTTTTTTTTTTTTTTTTTTTTTTTTTTTTTAGCATTTAAAAATTTAGTCTTTCAAACAGAGAGAGCTTATTGCCAATGGCTCTCAGTGAGAGCTTATTTCCATGGCTCACAGTTAGAGCTTACTGTCATGTCTCGTAGAGAGAGCTTATTGTTGGTATTCTAAAATCAGATAATACCGTGAACTCCAAAATCTGACGTCAGAACGCTCCATTCTTAACATGAACCACAGTGCAGCCACACCACTTATGTTGATGCCTTCCCTTTTTTTTTCATCAGGACAGTTTCTGTATATTTAAATATATTGCCTATGTCATGTTGTCAGATATTTCAGAATGTAAGATTAATTTCTACAAAAAAATACGAACTTTTGGAATTTTAGCAACAACAAAAAATAAAATAATAAAAAATACAAATTTAAAACCATAATTCTTCAAGATCTTAAAATTCGAATGGAAAGAAAACAATTTCTGTTTTTAAAGCTCTCGAGGAAAATCATAAGCTCGGGGAATCCTTTCTTTTGTATAAACTTCAGTGGGCTTACAAACGTCTGTCTCTATGATTGTTTCAGACCCCGTTTTTTTTTTTTTTTTTTTTTTTTTTTTTGTGGCTATAACATCTCCACATCTGCCCCACAGAGTGTCTAGAACTTCATTTTGGGTGTATTCATTTCTTCAAAAAGGTATGAGGGACATTTATAGCTGTCTGGTGTCCATTGATAGTTGTCAGATGTCCATTCATACCTGTCAGGTGTCCATTCAAAGCTGACAGGGGTCCATTCATGGCTGTCAGGTATCCATTCATAGATGAACACAAGCCTTGTCATTTACATTTGATCAAACGGTAGTGGTGTGGATGGTTGAACAATTTAAAATGAATTATTTATTTTATTTACTTTTGCATTTTTTTAAATGTAACATTAGTCTACATGGACAAAATATTTATTGATTTTAAACATCTGATTAAATTTTGTTCCTGTACGTAGACCAATGCGTTAATGAATGATGATTCCACTCCAATGCAATTGGAACGTTATTGCAATTTTTTTCTTGGAAACAAAGGGCAGTGTAACTTTTTTAATTTCATGGTTATCCCCCTTTAATAAAACGAATGTCAACACGGCAGCTCACGTAGTAGATCCTCTTATTCCACCTGTAGAAATGACATTTGAAGATGGTTATGTTGGTAAATATTAATCTAAATAGTTAATAAACATTGCGCAGCGTATATTCCCCCCCCCCCCGCTAATTTTCAAAGCTTTATATTCATTGCATAAAAAGGGGATGGGGGAATCCAAAGGTGACGAAATGTGTCCAAAAAAAAAAAATAAATAATTAAAAAACATTGCGCAGCGTATATTCCCCCCCCCCCCGCTAATTTTCAAAGCTTTATATTCATTGCATAAAAAGGGGATGGGGGAATCCAAAGGTGACGAACTGTGTCCAAAAAAAAAAAAAGTAGTGTGTTTGGAGGGGGGCAAGTGGGTCACGAATATTAGACGATGTACTATGCGGGCGGGTGTTAAAATGTGTAGACTGTAGACAAATTTAACGATGACGTGGGGATAGGCCTAAGCGTGAAAAGAATTTGTGAAACAGTTTTTCAGGTTTGCTTGTTATCACGTTTAAATTAACATGTAGCAGATGATAATCTGTTTTGTGCTTCTGCTAGACAGCCCCAAGATTTTCTTTTATAGCTAAGAAGGAGAAAAACATATTTATAAATTAAATCCGCCAAAAATTCTTTGCGAAATAAAAATAATAGTACTAATCTCTTTCATATAATAATAACAATAAATAAATATATGAGCCAAAATGATAAATAAATTGATCGTGGGCCCTTAAGATATAGAAGAAGAAGAAGAAGAAGAACGAAATAATAAATAAAAACATAAATACTAAATATGATTAAAAACTTTATCAATAACGCTTAATCCGCAATTTTTTAATTAATTTGAAGCCCGCATATTGTGTCATCAAAAAATTTTAAAAATGTCTAATAGTTTATCATTTTAAAACTTTCCAAATTTTGTTTCGGTGTTTAAAGATAGGTCTTTGTTTTTAAAACAGGAACTCTTCAATCGCGATTCCAAATATCCGGTTTTCCTTTTCTAATTTTGTCGCTTTGAGAAAGGGTATGTACGGCTTCAAATAAAATAAAAAATCAGCCTCCATCGTTCGCCCTATTCATCTAAATAAGTTAAAAGTCATTAGATACATTTTTTTGTTTAATCAGCATGTTAGATTTTCCATATAGGGTGCAAACAAAACTAATATTTGATGAAAAAATATCAGTCGAATGAGCTGCCGGATCGGCAATAGATTATGAATACAGGTTAGATGTAGTACCATTTCGTTAGAAACGGTTGAGATTGTAAGAAATATTCAACATTTCCACAGAACACTCAACGTTTTTTTGTAGTAAAAATATTAAGCACTTATAGGGTGCTAATATTGAGCTGTGCCCAAATCAAATTCTATTCATTAATAATAAAAAAAGGGGGGGGGGGGTTTACAATAATAAAAAGGTCCAACCAAGACCTTCACTTGTTGATGTAGCCTATAAAGGAAACTTTTAAAGACATATTCCTACAAATGTTTATATAAGAACAACTGACCAATGTACAGTAGCTTAATTAAATGGAGTAATCAGTAATCCTATTGGGTAGACCTGTGGAGACTGGTGACTTTTTTTCAGGTCTAGGGATTAATCATTTAGAGTATACTTTCACTTACTTTATTTAGCACATTAAATTAAATAGCCTAATTGTTTTGGTTTTTTTCTCTTCTCTTAGCATCAAGATGCTTATTCCAAAAAAGAATAAAGTTGCCATCTATGAATACCTTTTCAAGGAGGGTGTCCTTGTGGCAAAGAAAGATCCTTTTGCTGCCAAGCACCCAGAAATTGAAGTGCCCAACCTTCATGTCATGAAGGCATTAACAGTATGACTTTTTTTGTATTGACCCTGTCTGTGATAATTTTCCTACTGATTATTGTGTTTGTAAAAGTTCAGTATTAACCAGAAACCAGGTGTATGATTACTGGATTTCTAGATAAACAAGTCATTCATCTTCTTTGTTATATATTATATTGCTTTGTCTATCTTATGGGTGCAGGGTGGTCGAGCTGTCAATCCCAAGCTTGTAGGCTAGGCTGGTGTTCAATCTCCGTCAAATGTCTAGCTAGCAAATACACCAGCACCTGGCCTGGGTGGGACTTGTTAACCTGTCATTCCAAGAAAAAAAACATTGCAATTAGGATAATATAGCTACATGTAGCCTAATGACTAACATTTTTCACATAACAAAAAGAAACAGATGCGTGATTTTTTGAAAAATAAAAATGATTTCTTTTTATAATTCGGCTTACCGGTGCTGGTACCTCTGTTGATAATTACATGTATATTACACCGGTTCTCCCCCCCTTTTTTAGGGGGGGGGGTGAAATTCCCCCTCTTGGCAGGCCTGGGTGAAGTGTTCATGTGTAGTAAGGGGGGGTGGTAGTGGTGGTGTTTTTTTGCCAAGTTAATTATTTATTCATCCTCTCCTTAGCCCAAACTTCATGATTTAAGACCTAAAATTCATTGCAACACATTTGAAGACATTTTTATCTCATTGGCTAAATGGAGAATTATTTATGTTTTCCTTGCTTTGCTATTACAGACCAGTTTACTCTTACGATTTTGGCGTACTATGTACGATATTCAGGTGCAAACGTCATTTATTTCTGCGTGGTTTTTTTTACTATTAAGATAATGTATTGAAAGATTTTGTGATGATTTTGTATGATTTTAAGAGTTTTAGGGTAAACAGGTCTGCTATTAGTCGCCTATAGCTTTTTAAATCCTGTCCTGTTAATGAACTAACCAACAATTTTGACACTTAGTGAGCGCCTTATATTTTTTATCAAAGCATTATTTTCAAATAGGGAGGTTTGAAAAAATTAAGCAGGTATGTTAATTTTAGGTAAGCCTGGGGGTCTATTATGTATTGCCAGGCTAATCCTAGTGCCGGCATAGTTTTTAAAAAAAGAGTTAAAATGTTGTATTTTGTATTAAAAATGCCATTGCACTATTCTATTTTCTTACATTAGTTACTAATATCTGCAACACTGGCAATTTATGTTAACATAAATATTTATAAACATTATTTTCATTTAGAGTCTAAAATCCAAAGGATTTGTTAGAGAACAGTTTGCATGGCGTCATTATTATTGGTACCTGACCAATGAAGGTATCCAGTATCTTCGTGACTTCCTCCATCTACCAGCAGAGATTGTGCCTGCGACACTAAAGAGACAGACACGCACAGAGGCACCAAGGCCAACAAGACCTAAAGGTAATTTATCATGGCATGGCTTAATCCGAAGCTTTATCTTGTAATTCATAGGCAAACTTTAAAAAAAATATTTTTTGTTTCAAGCAAATAAAGTGGGGTAATATGCCAATGACTGAATTTATTTGGGCAAATCAATTCTGTGATAGAAAGCCGTAACTCTTACATGCCAGGGGGTTTTTCACATTTGTGACAGACCAGTTTTCGGCTAATGGAACTTTTTTAGGGTGCTCTTATCTATTAATTAGTTTATAATACATTTTTTAGCAAGATGGATTTATTCAATATCGAATTAGACGGAGTATAATGATACGTAATAGATAAAACAATATGTAGGTATTCCAACTCAAATTGTACTATTTTCTTGAATTTTTTGGCTATTAAATGTAGAGATGTCAAATTTGGAGGCATTTACGATACAAAGTTAAACAAAACACATGAATTGTGAATTATCTTATTATATTTTATTAAATATGACTTATGAGCTTATGGGTGGATAACAATTGTCATAAAATTTAAAATTAAAAATAAATGCGCACCAGATCTGAACTTACCAGACTACCATATGGTCTATTCTGCTTCAATCCTCAGACATATCCATTTTTGATCAGAATGTATTATACATTTTGAAAATATTCCATTCAGTGGCGGAGTTGAACACTTTTTTGTAACATAGGTGTGGTATTATCTCATTGCTCACTGTTGCCATAGTAACAAAGTGGTTTTGAAAAGAAAAATCATAACTTTTGAACCACTTGAGCTAGAAAGTTGATCTTAGGGTTTATGTATTCCATTCTCTGGGCTCTATACAGCTGTGGTATTCTTGTATTTTTACAAATGTTTTGAAATATTTACCAAATATTTGCCAACTGTCACCACTATTAGTAATACTATTACTATCATCTCCTCTATTTCTATTGGGCATTTACTAATCCATCAGAAAGCTGAAAATCATCACTTGAATCAAATTCAAAGGATTCATGCTATTGTCAGATGTTTTAGGATAAATAATTTGCTTAAAACCTCTTTTGCCTGCAAACGGTACGTGGTATGGTAACACCTGATGTGCTCAGAGTAGGCATGGCCATTGCTTTTTTTACAAAAGTTTCATCACAAATCGAACTATCATTAGAAATAGAAAGACACATGTAAACAGGCCCTACTTCTAAAAGTCGAATTGATGGCCATAGGCACAGAAATAAATGACTAAATATTTCAACAATATATCGTATATATATAATATATTTGTATATTAAATTTTAAGCTTTTTAAATTCGATTGTGCTTAGTCATTTTGTTTTTCATATGTGTAGTTACAGAATATTATCAATCTTTTCACAGCTTCCGAAGGTCCCCGTGGAGGTGGTGCTACTGACAGACAGGAATACCGTAAAGCTGGGCCACGTAAGTTTTTATTTCTTGTTTTGTTGCAACAATTTTTACCGACCCACAGCTAGGCAACTTCCCTTGAAAGATAGTTTTTTATGTCAGACAGTTGAATATCACCTGTGATGATTGTTAACGGCTTTTAGCAGCAAAATCAACATATGTTCAGTTACTAATTTTTTACGTTAAAGTTTGTTAATCCCACCATCATTTGTGACAGAGTATAAATTTCATTTCAATTACCGGTAATCATAAAAAAAATGTTAATTTGAACTAAATTTGTTTTTTCTATTCTTTGAGAGATAGCTATAAACAAATATTAACTTTTTTTTTGAGGAGTTATTCAAATGTTTTATAGGTAGCCATTGGATTCACCGTTATAATATTTTTATTTCATTACCAATGTGCCCTATAGATTCATTTTGTTAATTGTCGTTGACTTTTTTAAAATCTTTATTTAGCTGGTACAGACAAGAAATCAGAAGTTGGTGCTGGTTCTGAGAAATTTGAATTTGTACGTATTTAAGTTATATTTTGGGGTTTGGTATTGATAATTAACTGTTGTTTCATTAAACTATGAGTCTTTCAATAGGTAGTCCAAACTGAAATTAACTTTTCATAGCAGAGGTGTGGTGAGTTTCACCTGATGGACCTTTTTACTCTAAGATATATGCCACATATTTTTTCTAGATATCTCAAACAAAAAATGTTTGCAATTTTCATATTTTCTGAAAATTTATCCCCAAAAAACTTATTTTTTTAAAAAGTGCTCTTTTAAGGCCTACAATTTCTAAAAAAAAAATCAACAGAAAAGTCTAGGATTTGACTTTTTTGCTTCATTAACGTTAGTTAATAATATTTAAGACCAATTTTTTCAAACAGCAAGACCAATTTTTTATAAGTTGTAAAAAAAAATAACAAGAATGCTACTTAGCAATTTTATTATTTTGACAGAAAAATTGTAAATACCGTATACACAATTTTAAGAATTCAAAAAATTTGTCATTGACTTACAATAATATCATATTAAATAAAAGATAATATTAAGCAGAACGAAATATTTACTTACCAGAGGTCAAATCCTTGTCTTGGGGCAGTTCTCTCTCTTTTTTCCTTCTACATTGTTGATAGTTACTGGATTTAAAAATCAAATGAAAAAAGTATCATAATTAAACTAGTCACTATTGTGTAGCATCAGTTTTGCAATAATGAGTCAAAGATAATGTTAATTAGGGCGGCATCTAAAAAAAAAGTAAATTTGAGATTCATGGGTGCTAAGACTCAATGATAGAAGTGGGCGTGTCATTATCATTATTCTGATAAATAAACGTAGGTACTACTGGTAGGACTAGGGGGTCTTAGATGATTTCTAGCTGAGAAGTAAGTTTTATTGAATTTTAATATATTATTCACAACCTCACTATCAAGTTGATTCAACCAATTTGTTTTTAAAATGTATTGTAATGCATAATGTTTGATTCACTCGAGTGGTCGGCCCACTTCTACTCTCGTTGGTGGAAGTTGGCCTCCGCCGTAACACTAGTAGTAGTGACCAACGCGTCAGCCGGCTAGTGCTTGGGCTATTGAACTGGAAATAGTGGCGTTTTTGTGAACATGAAGGCTTCACCTCAAGCGTACCCACTCATTTGATATTATGATATTAGGTATTCTAAATGAAAATTTCATAATGAAATTAAATAAAATTGAACTATTCCCCTTAAAAGAGCTTGACTTCATCAGATCAGAACCACAAATTTTAACTCTATCTCCAACAATAAAAAAGTTATTAATTTTTTAAAAATCTGGAACAGGGTCAATTTTTAGAAGCCGGGAAACTGTAGTTTTGACACCCGCTATCTCCTAAAATAACTAAGTTAGAACTTTCAAATCTCTTGCCCACACAACCAGTTAAACATATAACAAGCTCAATTTTTTTTAGGGTTGTCACGAAAATGTAAATATATTTTTTATTCATCCAAAAACGAGCTGAAGCTCAATTTTATAAAATATTAAAATGGAGACAAAAAGTCAATTTTAGTTCATTTTAAAAAATTATAAAAAATCAATTAGTTAAGTTATTATAAATATACAGGAGTCAAGTAAAAGGTAATTTAAAGCACGACAATGTGAAATCATGAGGCAAAGGTGAAATCAAACAAAATAATTTACATAAATTATTTCAGCAAGGCATGCATTTCAAACATTTTTGAAAATTCATAAAAAATTAACGAAGCAAGATATCTTTACGAATGTTACACAGTATTGTAGAACATGTTAATCTTTTCAATAATAAAGCAACAGACTTACGTTTAGGAAACAAAATTCTTCTCCACATACATTTCCCTGCACTGGTTTAATGAGATTTATAATAATAATAATTTATATTATTTAATAGTAATAGTTGTCAACTTAGCATTTATGATCATGTCATTGCTATCAATATAATAACAAAATTCAAATATAACTAATATTACAAGCGGTAATACTAGCCCGTACTGTTGTCCAGTGTTAGTGTTGTTACTCAGCATGTTTTGGCAGTGGTCTGGCTCTTCTCGTTCTTATGTAATGGAATGGTATCTGTCTTAAGTTGTTTTCAGTTTCATCCAATGAAATGTTAAAATTAAAACTCAAAAGTTTACAAGATTTTAACTGCCTCCTATTTGCCCTAATTAATAGGGGTGTGCCGGACCCCGGTCCGGAATCCGGTTCCGCCGGATTTTGCACTATCCGGTGAAATCCGGTTCCGCCGGATTTACATGTATCCGGAACAACCGGATTCCGGAATATACCGGATTTCGGAATTTGCCAGATTTTGTGACTCACCGGATCATAATCTGAAATAAAAGTAATTCTCTTTCCCGAATTCCACACGATCACGATACATTAATCGATTGTTTCGAGCGTTGAGCTTGTTTAATGTTTAATATTCCGTACATACCAGAGGCTAGAGTCAGCACCGCTAATAGTGGCCAATAGTGTAGGGACTTTGATAAGAAAATTTAAACTTTTTGTAAAAATAAACCAATGGCATGGTTGAAAAGATGTAATTTTTTAAAGAATTATAACACCAAAATCATATTTTTAGCTGTTGTAGTTTTAAAGTTATGAATTTTTAAAGTACGACTTGGTTTGTCATTTTTTAACATGGACTGCATCTCCACATTCTGTGATCTCATTCCGCCAATCCCGTCATGCGCAATGACTATATAGTTTATATAAGGCAACGCATTCCCTGCCTTATCACTAAAATACTGTTTAGACTTAGTTTAAACTTTCAACTTTGGCACATGAATAATTAATTAAAGCTTTCCCTGACCAATGGTTTAATAGTTTTTGCACACGGCAAACTCTTATGAATGAAACTCTGAGGTAGTACTACGATACAGTTATACAAGTGGCTGTGAATGGTTGCCAATGACAACGTTTTGCACACGGTAAATTCTGATCATTTATAATATGGATTCTACCGGGTTGTTAAAGCTCAAATTAAAACATTCTAGTTTAAATGTCTTTAAATGCATTCTGAAACACAAGTTATCAATTATTTTGATGTAAATAGTGATAATATATTAATATTTCCTAAGTATCGTCAACTTCCGCCATTAAAAAGGGGGGCGTGGCCAACCCCATGGCGAAATTAGGTTGAGCGAGCTGCATGACCTGCTGCGAACGCGTAGAAACATGGCGTCTCTCGTAAGACACTTATCCAAATGGAACGGAACTCAAATATATATCGAAAGTACTAATTTAATAATAAATAGGCACACACATCGGAAAATTAAAAACTCGGATTTTTTGGCCCCGATTGCGAATTCCCATACACAAAAAGTAGTAGTCCACCTTGACTTACCGAAGTATCTACCAATAGTACCAAAATCCGGGAGAAACCGGAATCCGGATTCGAATCCGGATCCGGCGGATTTCGCATAAGAAAATCCGGATCCGGTTGGAAAAAACGGATCCGGCACACCCCTACTAATTAAAATGAATACTGCATACATGGTATATAATTGATAACGCATACACTGTATACAAAAATTTCTCCCCGAAGCGTAATTTTCGCCGGCTCATTTAGAATACCCAATGATATTACATAGTTTTAAAAAAACTGAACTTTCCAATGGTGTAGAGAAAGTACTAATATCTCTGTGTTTTCAAGCCATTTTTCTTATGAATATTTTCATCTGGCTTTTTCAAAAAAAAGACAAGCGAGATACATATGCTTTCTGTAGATCAAACGAAAGAACATCATCTGCTCTTTCTTGTGGTGTTAGAATTATTTTGGAAACTTTAACAGCTGCAAGCTTTGAAACACAATGGTGAAAACCTGCACTTGTGTAAACGCCGTAAAATTTATCAAAACCAAAATTTTCAAACCACAAAATACACTTTCAAAGAGTGTGTTAAAGTTAAAGACATAAAAGTAAGATGTTGCACTCGATAAAAAATTCACATAAACCATTTAGTGCTGTAACACTAGTACATGTGGGTTAATTAATTTTTTTGGAATCTTCGAAATATAACCCATAAACTCATTTTTTCACCAGTTTGGGCTACCTACTTAGAGTATTGTTTTAAATAAGCTATCTTGTAGCCAAGAGACACAGGATACATTTGCTACTGTACCACAAAATGAATATATGATTTTTATAAAACAATTTTTAGCTTTATTTCCGTATTACTTTTACATCTTTTTTCTCCTTCAGCGAGGTGGATTTGGAAGAGGCCGTGGGAGTGGTGGCTTTGGCGGTGGTGCATCCAGAGAACAGAATTGATTTATTTGAAAACATTTGGGTGGTAGCAAGAAAGATGTTCCAATTGGACATTGCACTTATTTGCTGGAATAAATCTGTACATTAAATTTCTGCTGTCTTTCTTGTTGTTTTTTTTACGGTTATTGCTGTCTCTAGTGTTTAAGTTAGTTATCGCATTATGGCTTGGCTCAGGCTGGCAAGGGTTTATTTTAACATGTCGAGAGTTGATTAAAAATATTTTTATTTTCCTATTGCACAAAGTATTAACATAAAGTTGATAAAGTTAACTATACTATGACACATCCAGTCAATTAAACTAGTAATTTTTTTCTTTGTTAATGGCAGTGATTTCATGTATTGTTCTTGTTGCAGTTTAATCTTATGGGTACCATTCCACTAATGGTTATGAATTAGCATTTGTTCTGGTTAAAATTGAGGAGCTGTACATTTTTTAAAAATCTTATGAGTTTTAAAGTTACACTTGTCTAACAATATCATTTAGAACACAAAGCCATTCAGATATCCGTCAAGTGGGAATACTTGTACGCTAGTTTATTGAATATCTTCAAAATTCTCATTTTTTAAATTAAAAAAAATATGGCTAAGATTAAGATTAATAAGATTTTGTCTAGTCGAATACCTGTACTTGAAAATAAGGGTATTCTGCTGGGGCTAATGCTTATGGTGTTTCCCTACTAAATCGCAAATGTTGATATGGATCTGATTGAATGTTTATTTATAATTATACCAATACACATGCTTTCGTCGTCGTGCATAGAAGTAGTTGCAATAGTATATTTATAAATTATATTATTTAAATAATAGTTAATAATACGACCTTCCAGTCAGCATTACCTACTACTACTGGTATCTTAAAATTAGATCTGTAATATCAGCCTGCATGACTTTAAATAATAGTTAATAATACGACCTTCCAGTCAGCATTACCTACTACTACTGGTATCTTAAAATTAGATCTGTAATATCAGCCTGCATGACTTTAAATAATAGTTAATAATACGACCTTCCAGTCAGCATTACCTACTACTACTGGTATCTTAAACTTAGATCTGTAATATCAGCCTGCATGACTTTAAATAATAGTTAATAATACGACCTTCCAGTCAGCATTACCTACTACTACTGGTATCTTAAACTTAGAACTGTAATATCAGCCTGCATGACTTTCCTGCTCACATTCATATTTCTTTATCATATTCTTTCACTTCCTGCTATTTCTTTGAAATTTAAATATGGCTTTAGCAGGTGCCTCTCAATTATTAGATGGGCTATCAGTCAGTATTTGTGGAAGAAGGAGATACATAATTTTCAAAACAATTTATAAGGAAAAGTAATGAAAGTTCAAAAATGTTCTCAAATATTTTCACTGGTGTATTGGAACTTCTTTATACCGGTACCCGGTCTTGGATTATTCATTGAGAGCCCCAATGTCTCATTTGGATGGCCACCCCGACCGATAAGTGAAAGGCACCGTACCGTTAACACTGACAAAGATCCACAATTTTGAGTACCGTACCAGTAATTCAAAATAGTCACGGTCCTCTCCCCTGGTTATATTTTCATAAATGTAATAAAATTTAAAACGGATACCGGGTATTTATATATTTTATATATATATATGGGAAAATGTAATTGAAGGCGCGAGATGATGTCTTATGAATAACTTTGATACCATTCCTTTTAGTTTTAGAAAATATAATATGAATAAATATTATGGAAGTTTGGTGTTTAAAAGAATAATATTTAATGAATTACCATAATGATTTTCAAGGTAGCGTGTTCCCCAAAGGCAAACAGAATTTCCGAAGGGGACTTTGTGAGCTCCAGAAAGACAAAGGTTTTGGAACCACTGTTCCATACGATAAATAAAATTTAAATATCTTTTCACGCTTGAGTAAAGGAATGCCTCAAGATCAGCGGCGCAATTCATGGTTCTCTCAACTTGGCCTGTAGCTGGGTCAAAAGACTACAAAGAAACCAACAGCTTTCCGTAACCTCAAGTTGTATTGAAATATTATTTAGAGTTTCGATTTAGAGTAATATTAATAGTAAGAGTTATTGATATTCAAGTGGTATAAATTTAGTGGGGAAGCGATAGCGCTTATATTTCTTAGCGGTACAATGTCCTTGGGGGGGGGGGGGGGGGGGGGGGTAATCAGCTCTTTTTTTTCAACTAGGTATTTGGGTGGTGTGGGGTTAATAATTATAATGTGAGGACCTAATAAGATAAATGTCTACTGTGCAGGGCCGTCGCTAGGGGGTGGCGAAGTGGGCGACAGCCCGGGGCCCCGCGCGTTGCCGTAGTAGTAGTAGGCCCTATATTTTGTTTGTCTTATTTTTTCCTTGTGGTCCAGATTACAATGGCTCATTCAGCTTCGTGTTTTCGTTATTTGTTTTTGACAACCTTGAAATTGGTAACAATGAGCCGTGATGAGTACAGTAACTCAACAACAGCAAACCCTGAATGAGCAGAGAAATAAGGGAGGCCATGCACCACAAGAAGAACATGTTTAAGATTTACGATCAAGAATTCATTAAAGCTAAAAAAAAATATTGAAAGAAAAAGTATATCAGGGTAAAAAACAAAACAAACAAACCATCGAACAATTATTCCTTACTAACAACTCAAAGGCTTGTTGGTCAGGACTTAAGCAAATAACAGGATATACTCCTAAGCTTGAATGCTTATGTGTTGAGGACGTGGAGAATTTTGTTAACGACTTAAATGACATTCATTGTCGTTTTGACAGCCTGGACTTTGGAAGAGTACACAATAAGATGATGAATTCATTTAAAGATGGCAGTAGTACACAGGATGGTACTTTATTGTTCACCGAACAGGGAGTGATGTCATTATTTAAAGTTAAAGAAGTGGACGCAGTCAAGGCTTCGGGACCAGATAAATTAAGTGGTCGGCTCATTAAACTATGCTCAGAGCAGCTCTCCTACATTTTTTTTTGCATATTTAATAAATCTTATCTAACTCACACAATACCAGCAATTTGGAAAACTTCAGAAATCATACCAGTTCCAAAGAAAATTAAGGTAACGTGCAACAACGACTTACAACCTTTTGCACTTACCTCTATTGTCATGAAATGTTTTCAGAAAATAATTCTGAAAGAAATTTTGAATAAAGTAAAGTACCGGTACAGCAAAAACTTAACCCCCACCAATTTGCTTACAAACCTGCCAGAAGTACCGGTACGGAGGATGCAATCTTACTATTGTTGGGGAGACTTTACCATCACCTAGACAGTCCTAAAACATATGCCAGAATGCTATAAGACTTCTAAGACTTCTCATGGGCATTTAACACTATCCAATCACACCTTATGATAAAGAAACTTTCCTTGTTAGGTGTCAATTTAAATATTCAGGCTCTTTAACAAATCGACCACAATATGTCAAAGTAAATAACCAATTATCTCTCTCCCGTATTGTATACCGTATATACCAATGATATTCAAAGCTCAAGCGACACCGTTCCAATCTTAAAATTTGCTGATGATACCATCATTGTTGGCTTAATATCTGATGGAGAAGGCCTATACCGCAATTTAGTTACAAGCTTTATCATTTGGTGCGATGAAAATTTTCTCCAGCTGAATGTCTCAAAAACAAAGGAAAGGGTTGCTGATTTCAGGAGGGGGAAACACCAGATTACAGATCTCGACATAAAAAATCAAAGTGTAGAGAAAGTGGAGGCATATAAGAACTTAGGTGTCACCATTAATAATAAGCTAACATGGCATGAGCACGGCCAAATGCTGTATAAGAAATTCAACCAAAGACTGTTCTACCTCAAAAAAACTGTACAATTTCGGCGTAAACAAGCAACTCATTAACTTATTCTACAGTGCAACAATTGGAAGCCTACTTAATTTCAGTGTTACCTGCTGGTGTGGGAATTCAACGTCTGATATTAAACACCGTTCAAACTGACTAATCAAGAAAGCTAGGAACATAACACAAAGTAAACATCCTTCACTTGAATAACTATTTGAAGAAAGATGTTTTTGTAAAACTAAACATCCCACCCTCTTACACAGATAGGATCGGGCCGTTCGGGACGAATTCTTTCCATCAGGGCGAGGACTGAAAGATATAAAAATTCTTTTGTTCCCCAATCTGTACGAATTTACCGGCGTGCTCCCTCTGAAGTCACACATCTTCTTGAGAACTAATAAGTCCCCGATTTGGCTAAGAGAACTCACTGAATGGCTGTTTTGAGATAATTTATTATAAATGGCTTGTCTTCACATTGTTTTATTTATATGCTGAAAATGTATAATGCAATCAAAAAACAATTCCATTTTTTTTTAATCAATAAAAGAATCTTATCTTATCTTAATATCCTATCGGCGGAATATATAACGTCAATTGCCCCGCAAAATTCAATTTGGCCAAGCCCCCGCACCCTCCTAGCGACGGCCCTGATACTGTGTATTCGCTGGGGTAAGAAGATGGGGTACAGTCTAGACCCGAGAGCATTCTTTTGGGGTTTGGCATACTCTAGATGACGGGTATGGTTTATTTTCTCGGTGTACCCGGAATTCTGTTTGTTTTGAGGTTTTCGTGAATGAGGGTCGGCCAGGTCAAGGACGTCTTCGAATGTTACAAGCAGTAGCTCCTCCCCTGTGTGGATCATAATTATATACATTAAACAAAATAATTAATTACTTAAGTGGCAAAAAGCTATTAAATTAATTACGATACTTCCATTATGTCTGGACTGGGCGACATTAACTTAACTCTACACCTCCCCCCTGCCTGCACCCTGTCGTCTAGCCCGTGAGTAGCTCTATATACAACCCCCCCTCCCGCCCTATATTTCTGTTGCTGCCAAGTTTCCCACACCACAAGTTTTACACTCTGGGGCAACGTTCCTATTAAAGCTGCGCGGCCGCGCACCTATCTCACAGACGCCGCGCAGCAGTTTTGAGTACCGCGCAGCAAATTTCCATGTAAGTGTGTGTTTGTGGGCTGTACAATTTTGCACACAAAAAAAAATTTATGCTGTAAAACTTTGCAGACAACTGTATGATTTTGCACACGAACCAATAAAGCTTAGAGGGAGCATTGCTCTG